TCTTCTTGTCATTAATATATTTGTAAAAACTTTTTTTGTTGTCTTTAACGACAGCGGCCAGATTGCGTTCTAAATGATTTATGTGCAAAAGGTAAAAGGTAGGGATGTTAGTGAGTTAAGAATAAACTCTTTTCATGGCATTTGGATAAATAGTAGTGTTACAAAGCTTGACTAGTTTTCTAAAAACAGTAAGATGAATTGTTAAGAAATCACATTGTTAGTGCCTTTGTCCCATACCTAATAGCCGATTCAGCAATAACTTGGTAATACTTCTTGGATCCTTTGTTACGTTCTTATTTGGTATAAACCTAATCTCTCCCTTTGTTTTTCAGGCTGTAAGTGCCTTGGTCTGAAGATTTTGTTGTTGTGCTTATCTTCCAGTATTGATATCTGTCTTGATCCTTTCTAAAGATTTCATGATTCTCCTTCTTGCAGATAAGAACTGTACCTGAAGGAAGGAAGGAAAAAAAAAAATTCTTGCTGCAATCTGCTCACATTTAATTTGCTGTTTCTTAATTTAGCATCTCTTGTATTGGTTCATCTGTAAACATATACCGTTTTCTGTTTCTATACCGTTGCTGAACATGATTAATCAGTAAAAGTAAACTTGGTTCCTGTTAGAAAGAGAAGCCATTTTTTGTGACGGTTCTGTGACTCTAGAACTTCCTTTATTTGTTTTTTACTAGTCTGACATAATTGGATTTTTTTTTAGAAAATTTCTCTGGAATTTTTGTTGAGGTTAATTTAGAACAGAGTGTTAGATGACTTCAACAGAGTAATTTGTAACAAATTACTTGGGTGAGACATACCTTTAAACTTGTCTCTATTTAATGATAGTAGATTTCATGCATCTTACCTTACAGTTTAACTCTGGTATCAGAAGTACCTAAAAACCCAAGTATGAGCTCATGGCATAAAAAAGAACCGGCAGCTCAACTAAGTGCTGTTTAACACTTATAAATCTGTTAGACTTCCTTTTAGAAGCTGGAACATTCTTGTCTGTCACTAGAAATCTGCAATAGCCTGGTTCAGGCCAGAATACAACAATAATTATCAGTTATCAAGTTCAGATTCCACAGCTCTTACTAATACTTACACATGTTACAGCAGCCTTAGATTAAAGTGAAATACATCTGTGCTCACTGACTAACAGATCTGCACTCTGTTGTGCAGAGATGTGGAATACACGTTTGTTTGGGTCTCCTATGAAATGCTTGTGGGTGTTTATTATTTTTTCACTACCTGAATTTCTAATAGTGTGTATATCATACTTAAAATATTTTTGAATCATTGACAATTTTTCAGTGTCTAGCTGCAGAGCGTGATTCAGATACCCTTATAATTCATGCAGTGTTTCATCCATTTCTTCCATTTCTATGCTATAGTTCAGCTTCAGGTAATATAGTTCACATTATCTTGCATTCTCTTGCTTATTTTAGAGCAGAACATTAGAGATGTTTTCCTACCTGTGGGGAGAGCGTGGGGTAGAAAAAATATTCCTGGGTTTTAATTTTAAGCCATTACTGTCTCTTGTCCATTTTCAAACTAGAGAATTTTACTGGATTTTGACAATGTTTCTGGACATGTAGACTCTGTTTCCATTGAATCTAGAGATAATACGGGGTTTGTGGTGGCCCAGAGCATCTATTTTTTTCACGAGGAACCTTAATATGGCCTCTGAGACTTAACTTTTAGGGACTAATTCAAAAAATCAGCTTCTTCTAGGAAGCTAATGAAATAGCTCCTGAAATCCATTCCAGATAGTACCAGAAAGTATTTCAACAAGCTAATTTTGCCACAGCTTTCTGGATCAGACCTTACACAAGATGCTTCATCCCATTTATAAGAGGAAATAAAGGAAGGAATGTTACAGTTGTATTTTCATGATACCTGCAATATATTTGATTAGTGTGACACTTTGGTAATAAAAGTGCAAATGTGATGCTATAAATGAGATGGGGATAGTTAGATTCTAAACCAGATCTGTGTGAGAAAATAATACCAGAAAACAGAAGGGAAATAATGATCAAAACACCACAAGCGTAATCCTCTTGTACCTTAAGCATCTGAAAAGTACTCATTTCTTGTTTTTCCAATTACAGGGGCTTGCCATGAGGTGCTGAAGCCTTGTTTCTTTGATTTGGAGAGACTGGACCTAAATGGCGCAGCATGACTTTGCTCCAGCCTGGCTTAATTTTCCAACTCCACCATCATCAACAAAGGTGTGTTATTTGTTGTTCTTTTGAACAGGCACTCTCATTATTAGAGAAGTCTAAATGTCATAATCTCAATTACAGTAAAAATGCAAATCTCTTTATGAATAGGGTGATAACAGATGATATCTAGCAAGTCTTGTTGTCATGATTTAAGTAGTTGTACCGTGGTTGTCAAGCTCATACCTCCACTAGAGTTTTTTGCTTGAGCAGCTGAGTTCACAGGAAGAAGCATGTGCCTGGCCACATTATCAGAGCTGTTGTTGGATTAAGATTGCCTTCATCAGGAGTTTAAAATGAATTATTGTATTTTGTGCTAGAAGTACCAAGACAGAGGCATGTGCTTGATGTCCTTGCTTCTGATTTTGCTCTGTGTCCTATAAATTTTACAGAAGTGTTATTCTATCATCCAAGTGATTAAAAAAAATGCTTTTGAAATAGACCTTCTGAAATGGCTCTTCAGTTGCTGGTGGGATGCTTGTTACTACTGGCGGAGTGCGGTACTTTCAAACAGTTGTGCATCTTCACTCAGGTTGTTTCATCTAGACTACTGTTACTCACTTTATACAATGGGACAGTTAGCTTGGAAACAGGAAATAGCAATCTCTGAATTGTTAGGATTTGTAAATATTCTAGGAAGTCATGAGTATGTCTGTGTCATAAATGTTTCTTTTTTTCTGGCCTATCCTCCTACTCTTTCTTAATTTGTGTGAATGCAGAAGCAGAGGCAGCACTGGATATTCAAACTCCTGTCATCCATTTCTGTATCTGTAGACCTGTCTTCTTCATTATAATCTTCTGAATGCAATATCCATATCTGCAGCTGAGAGTGGCATTGCCTTACTTTAATGTATTTATGTAAGTTTCTTGCTGTCTTTCATGTCCATAGAAAATGTTTAGCCTTTATAAACTTACGGAAATAGGCTTGTGCTATTGTTAAATGCACAGTTAGCCGTCAGTATTAGTTGTGTTCCCATTGCTTTGCCTATGTATGTCTACACACACAAACATACATGCATGCATTTTTTTAGTCAGGTTATTAAATAGAGCAATATGAATAAGTACATTCATCTTTCTTCTACACTGACCTAGCTAGCTGCTTTGTTTATTGTAGTCTATCAGCAACTCTCGGTTGCTGTTCTGGGAACATCAGGCCTATCTGCTCCAGGATGGTTCCTGCGATCTGTTTGTTTTCATTCTCCTTGATTTCCAATAAATTCAACTCTCTTGATCTGCTTTTTCCAATTGAATACATTTTCAGTTGGAAAAGTAATCAGAGCTTAGTTTAATATAGTGTCACAATTACAAAACAATCTTCACCACATATTTCAAGAATCTGCTGGAAAAGCTTTACTTGCATGCTTAAAGTGTCAATACAGCAGGATAAAAGCAAGTTCCAGAACTACTCCAGTACCATTCGAATATATCTGAGGTTTGATTGTATTTGTCACCTCATTCCTGAATTGTGGGAAATTTCGTTGCAAGCATATGTTGTGGATCCTGTTCTCTTCCATGATTCTTTGCCTCAAGGAGTTTAGATAGACTTTCTTTCATCTCTTCCAAAACCTCCATAGTTATATGCTTTCTCCATTATAGTCTTTGTGCTTCATTGTTTGAAATACAGCTTATTTCCTTGTGTTACCTCCTCCCTCAATGATCAGCATTCTGTGATATACAGCACATTTGGATATTAAACACTTGCAAAGTCTTTTTGGTCCTACCTGATGTGTAGTAATTCTTAGTTTACAGAATAAGGCTTGTCCTGTCATTCCTCTACAAGACAGGTCTCAAATGTTGTGGCCCCTGTCCCCTCCATTTCCTAGAATAGATTTTTATTTCTGTTTCCTGTATATCAACAAAGCAGCTGAAGAGAAGAGCAGATAAGAGGGATGGAGATGAAGAGGAAGGATGGGGTGAGGAAGGCAAGGTGTCTCATGTTTCATGCAGAATGGAGCTGGGTTGAGGCTATGGTATCAACAACGTTTAGACTTGAGAAGGAGAAACTGAACTCTGCTCAGTCAGTTTTTATTTCCCTGAAGAGGCACTTCTAGGAATTGCATCTTTAGGAGCTTGGTTTCCCCCCTTGATCCTGGGTAGCTGAGGCTTTTCCTTACATAGCTAAAGGCTAGCATTAGAAAAACCTGATGCCAGGAAGCTGGGATTGTGAATGAGCTTTCTTAATGTGACTGATACAAATTACAGCTTGACTGAAATCCATCTCACCTATTGCTGATGATTTCCTCTTAAGGATAAGCTTTTGTATCATCTCCCTGTCACTTGTATAGCAAAGTCCACCTAAATAGCTGGGTGTCCATTGCTCAGTAGCTTTCGTTCAGGTCTGGAACTACTATATTTGTGTCAGTGCAGTATTGCAGTTGAGCAGATGGAAATGGGAAGGTATTGTGAATAGTGACACCATCTTGGGATATGGCCGAAACTTTTCAGAAAGGATTGCTGTAAAACATGTGTGGGGAGATTGCAGACAGACTGGTAAACTCAGTTTTTGCAAGCTTACTTTTACTTCATGTTAAGCAATAAGACATCTTCTTCAAAAATGTGTTTTGCTTTCTTTCTTGGCTGGCTGAGCCTGGTCAGATAATTTCTCAACTTCCAGAAATTGCCAATAGTTTCCTGTTAATCACAAAGTTTACTGTCATCTCTGCCACAAGAGACTTGATGGACTGATACCTCCATCATGTGGGGAAAATGCAAACTGCATGATCTTTGCACACAATTTAGAGACTTTAGATGCATTATATCGTGTGCAACTCAAACACATTATATATAAAATGCTGTCAGTTATACTTTGTGAAAATGTGGTGGTTCTTCAAAGTTCATACAAAAAAATGAAAGTTAAACTCCAAAGGCAGTATTAGAAGGTGGTTGTATGTAAATGAACACATGAAGCTACCTTCTAAAATTTCATCTATGGTCAACAGATCTGGAGCTTTCTGAAATTTTTGGCAGCTTACTCAAAATTTGTTTATAAAGATTTATTTTTTACTTAAATTTTGAGATTCATAATGATAATTTTTGAACTACATAGACCTTTTGGTAGTTTCTTGTGGTCTTCTGTTTTTTTTTCTCTCTCTCCAAGTTTGTCAAGGAAGTAATTCACTTCCCAGGTCTCAAACTGAGAGGGCAATCCCTTTTCATGTGACTTCTGTACAGTTTGGAAATACATGCTTTGTATTTTAAACATATCTGTTGCTTACCTGAGTTTGAATTTTAAGCAGTGAATTTTGAACAGCACCTTGAGCTCTTCTGGGGCATTGTCAGTAGAACTTGGGTATCATTTTGTGTGTGTGATTGTCTCTTGTGGGGGCTGGGGAGGTGAGAAGAAGGAAATAATTTTCTTCAACGTGTTTTCCAAAGTAGCTAAACCTATTACTGTGATTTTTTTTTTTTTTCCCCTACTCACTTTGATCAGTGGAGTACTTTAAATACTAATATAGCTTGATTAGATGTTAGTGGATAATAACTGTTGAAATAAACTTGGGTCTTTCATTTTCAGACATACACCATTACTGCTGTACTTTTTTTTCCTGAATGTTACTCAGTCTGGAGAGGGAGTGAGCTTCGGGCAGGGAAGTTGGGATACTTTGGGTGCAGTTAAGTTGACGCTCCCTGGAATCATTAAGCTTAGTTTCCTGACTCAGTACATTTCCACACAGCTGTGCATTTATGCATTTGTAGCTCTTACGGCCCTGGGACGTATTGGATCTCTTGTACGTGTGCAATACAATGGACATAGATGCGCACAGTAAGTCTGCTGGGATGGAAGGGGGCTTTGCTTCATCTGCATCAAAGGCTGGCTGTGTGGCAGGGAGGTGATGGGTAACACAGCCCTCTGCTGTCGCTCACTGGGAGATCTGTGCTGTGAACAACAGTAAGGCTAAGCACTACTTCTGCAGAATGAAAATTTATTCTTGAATTTTTAAGATGTAACAGCAAAAGAAATGTTAGAGTGTTAAAATAGTAAAGTCAGATAAAAGTAATAGGGGAAGACAGGTGCTATAAGACGTGATCTTTTTTGATTTAATCCCCTTAGGTATGAGTTCCAGTCAGGATGGATTTTGATTTCTGAGTGCTATTCTCAATATAAGGTTTTAGTTTATAAAGTACTTCCTACTGATACACTAAAGATTTATTTCTTTAAAATTTCTACAATACCTGCTTATAAACTGATAATTTGAAGTGTATTTGTGCATCTGTACACTTTTGACTCTAGGTTTTATTTGTATTTCATAACTAGTTGCATTTGCCTTATTAAGTTATAATGACAAGACTAATAAATTGAGCCTTTTTTGGGTACAGCTGCCTCTAGTGGAAGCAACTCCTTGCTTTCTATGGAATGCACATATGTAGTCTCTGACCACCAAAATTTAAGATCCCAGGCTTCTTTTCTGCCTTCCAAACTGTGATCTCCTGTCCTTTCTTACCTTTTTTTATTTTTCCTCTGCTGCAACATGTCACTTGTGCTCTGTTCTACTGCCAAAACAAAATAGACACTTGGTTTTTTTACCTTGTGTCACAAGCATGGTCCTCAGTGCTGTTCCAGTGTCCTGGGGCAGAAGATACAGCTTCCACTTTGCTAGCATGGGAGATGGTGACATAGCTCTGAACGTGTGCATGCTTGAGGATTGCTGCATTGTCTGTCATTCAAAGTCCTTTTAAAAATGAATTGTATATACCATGAATAAAGTGCATGTTACAGTTCTGATAATTCAGTTTTGTTATTAATCAGATATCTCAGGTCTACCACTTGTGCTCCTTTACAGTCATCGCTGAACTTTGAGAAACATTCTGAAAATTTTTCGTGGACAGAGAATCGTTATGAAGCAAATCGCAGAAGACACAACTCTTCGGATGGGTTTGATTCTAACATTGGACGGCCTAATGGAGGTATAATTTAGCTTTCATGGAACATTTTGAATACGTTTACATCATGCTTTGTAGCACTCTAGCTAGAAAAAAAGTCTGATAATAGCTCTCCTATGCTAAAGTCTTATTCTGTAGTAAAATAGAGGTAATGGAAAGACAGATCTTCTGGGAGAGGATGTGATGACTAAGGGTTGGTTAAAGTAGTGTGATTCCAGGTGTATTTCTTCCTTAAGAAGAATAAGACTGTTGAGTTAATATTCTAGCCAACAACGTATAAATGAGCAGCCAGAAAAGGAGGCTGACTTGTCTTAAAGTTGGACTACTATCCTCTTTCTCTGGCACTGTTTTGTAAGATTCTTTCCTGCTGCTTATGTGAGTGAAAACTTAAGTTTACTAAGCTATCACATCCCAGAATACAGAGCTGCTGACTTAACTTCTCTAACAATTTTGCAAAAATAGAATATTCTTTTAAAATTGTTTGTAATTACATTTTGTTAAAATTTAAAAATCCTAGGACATTTTGGGAGAAAAGAGAAGAATGGTTGGCGTTCACAAGGCAGAAATGGTACAGAAAATATAAACCATCGTGGGGGATACCATGGCGGAGGTTCCCGTGCTCGTACCAGCACTTTCCACTGTGGAAAAGGTCAAGGACTGCATGAAAACAATGTACCTGATAATGAAACTGGGAAAAAGGAAGACAAAGAAGTACCCAAACAGTTTGAGGCTGAGGATTTTGTAAGTTAATTGTAATTATAATAAACAAGGTTTCATTGTTTCTGCAAGTGCCATTTTGTCCATTACAAGCTACTTCATGAGATTTCACCAGTTTCAGATCATCATATAAGGGATCACCCTTCCCATAGGTAAGAGGGCGTTAGTCATTTGTCCACTAACTTGTTTCTCCTTTTATATCCAGTTTTTATCATTATGTGTTTATTATTGTCATTTGAGTGTTTAAGTGAAACTACAGTTGGGTTCCAGTTTACTGTGGTATGTGTATGTATTAAATTCTACACAGTTACCTTACTGGAAATCTGAAGTACTAACAAAGTGATCTTTCTGCCAATGGCCCTTGGAGATCCCATGCTTCAACCTAGAATTGTAATATGTAAGAGGAAGGGCGAGCTTCCTCTTTGAAGAACCATACGTCACAGTTTTTTGCTTTCACTGGAGAGTTCATGTAATGGTATTGACTGATGCCTGAGATGTTTTGTTGGAGAAGAGAAACAAGTGAGCATTGACCTAGTTTGGGTCGCAGGGGGAAGTGTCTAGTCTGTCTCCATTTAAAAATCTTTGACAGCAGAGGTCATACTGCCAATATTATTGTGATTCTTTATTTCATTGGTCCCAGAATTCAGGCCTTATTTTTTTAATAATGATAAAACTTTCTTTCAGCCATCTTTGAACCCTGAATATGAGAGGGAAACAAACCAGAATAAATCTTTAGCTGCAGGTGTGTGGGGTGAGTATTTTTGATGTTTTTAAATGTAAAAAACATAGCAGAGATCTGAAGTTGTTTTATTTGAAACATAGGAATTTTTTTAGAATTATAAAGGTATAGATTTAAATTATAAAGGTAGAGATTGAAATTGAGGAAACTTCAATATTATTACAATGTAAATATCTTTTTTTCTTAAAGAGGTAACACTTCTATTTGAATATCAGTCTGTTGGTCTGTAGATGCAGCCACAACTAGGATTCTTTCCCAGAACAAGTATACATCGTAAAGATGTCCATAATTTATCTTCATCTTTATTTTCGAGAGGAAATGCAATGAAGGTGGGTCATCTAAACTAGTGATGTGATTGCTAGCTGAAGACTTCATAAAAGAATGCTTCTGACTGATTAGAGCTGTTGGAAGGGTTTGGAGAGAAACCTGGGAGGGTTGGGAAGAGCAGGTTAGCTTGCAGAGGTTTAAGGTCTCTTCCTGGAAGCAAATGTCTTAAGCTGTTGGTTGTGTTTACGAATTACTTGCAACAAATCCAATCCTGAGAGTGGGCCTTGGACTGTAGTCTGGGATTGTTTTCTATCTCTACCTGATTAAATCTGGCTACCACTTTATAATTCTGTGGGCTTTATGTAGTCAATTGTTCACCCTTAAGAAGGTGGCAGCTTTAGACTGCACAGGTTTTAAAGTAATAAACTTACTCAAAATAAGAACCTTTCTCTTTATGAAGAAATAACTTTAATTAAACATAAAAGCTACTACTTAAACTGTTGCTAATACTGAGATCTGAAACTTGTTGCTCCTTTTAAATGGTACTTTAATTTGCTGATTCTTTTTCTCATACTTCCCCAGTATGTTTTGCACTCTTAGGTAACACTAGATGTAGGCCAACCCCTCAATATAAATACCTAATTGCTAAGAACTGTTGCAGGAGCCTAAACAATTAGACTGCTTTCCGTTTTTGTGTGTTTAGCAGCTTTCATGTGAAAGTCAGGAAATAGAGTTATCTTTCAATAAAAGAGCAACAATAACTAAATTCTTTCCTAACTGTCCTGGTTTTGGCTGGGATAGAGTTAATTTTCTTCCTAGTAGCTGGTACAGTGCTGTGTTTTGGATTTAGCATGAGAACAATGTGATAACACACTGAGGCCAGGACAGCTGACCCAACTGGCCAAAGGGATATTCCATAATATGATGTCATGCTCAGTATATAAGCTGGGAGGAGTTGGATGGGGGGTAATTGCTGCTCCGGGACTGACTGGGCATCTGTCGGTGAGTGGTTGCATCACTCAGTGTCATCTGTCCCTACCCCCTCCCCCAGGTGAGCGAGCAGCTGTGTGGTGCTTCGTTACCGACTGGGGTTAAACCATTACACTAACCAAGCTGGGAAAAATTACATAGCAATTTGAGTGTTTTACAAACTTTGCAGCACTCTGGCTGTGGCTGCTGCATGATGTGGCTCAGTTTGATCTGAAGGAGGGCAAGGTTTCCAGGCTTTTTGGATATCACTCTTCACAAGCAAAGAAGGAACAGTTCTGTTAGCTACATAAAATAATAGAATGGTTTGTTTTGGAAGGGACCTTTAAAGATCATCTAGTCCAACCTGTAAGCTACAGTGCAGTCACCTGTTACAGCTTACAGCTTGGTATCTTACTTTATTACAGCTCTGCTATTGCAAACCTTGTTTTGTAATTGAAAAACTGAAAGTAAGGCTATTATTATTCCCTTTTAAAGGAAACAATATTCAGGACAAGAGGAGTGTTACCATCCCCTTCTAATGCCTGTTAAAAATTTATTCTATTATACGAAAAGGAAAATGGAATCTATGTGATGGGAGCATGCGAATATCATAAAGTCTTTTTGTAAAGTTTAATGAGAGCTAAGTATGCAGTTATCACAAATATTTTGTAACATTTACCTGCTAAAAAAAGCTAAAGTCACTTACTCTTTTAAGATAGGTTTTTTAAAATGTAGGATATGGTCACTCGGCCCATGAAGTAGAAGTGCTTGCAGGGAGATGAGATAATCTTGGAAAAGGCTATTAATGCAGCATTGGAACGCATATGCAAAACAAAATTAAAGTGGGGTTTTTTTTACTTTTTGAAAATTTTTGATCTGTTTTTAATAGGTGTTCTTTAAAACTGTTAAATGTCAGTTACTTAGTATGACAGCTGACTGTATGTCTCTTAATTAGTGCTCTCTTGAACATGGAAATGTTGTAAGCTTCAGATGTTCTGTTACGCCCATCTAAGGCATGGAGATAAAGTGGTCATTGCCATGGTATAGAGTAGTGCACATCTCTTGTCCCATGTTTGTAGAGCCTTAGTGTGGAGCGTCTGGCTCTAAACTGAGCTGTTAATAAATACATAAGTAATTATTCTTTTAGTAACCTTAAAGGGACATATGATGTCCTCGTTAATTTTCTTCCTAGTAGCTGGTACAGTGCTGTGTTTTGGATTTAGGATGAGAATAATGTTGATAACACACCGATGTTTCAGTTGTTGCTAAGTAGTG